TATTTATTTCTTATTTTTAGTTATTTTTATTTATTTTATTTTTCTTTAAATAAAAGATCTTCTACTCAGCATTCATGCATTTAAAATTATTACAGCTTGCTAGTTTTTAGTAAATTTTATTACAATAGTATATTTGATTAATGGTTGCATTATAACCACAAAAGACAACTATAGAAAGAGTGTACAACTAGCTACTTATACAACTTTAGCTATTGTCTAATTTAAGTAGTCTGCCTAAAGGTTCTATACTAGTTGCCATACCTGAAATTTGCCTGTAGATTCTCTATTTAACTACTTTAGTTTTTATATTCACTTACCTACTTTTGCCTATCAATAACCCTGGCTGATGCCAATAAAAATATGCCATGGTTACTAAGTTTTTAAAGCAATTTACTCATATAAAAAACCTTTGACCTTGTACTAAACCTTTTAGAATTTTTTGTATCCTATTCTTATAGCTGATCTGATATTACTATGACCAAGACCAACACTAGCAGTTAGAACATACTATTAAACCACTATGCCCTTGTAGAGTTTACCCTAACCTTAGTACTAACTTTATAACATATCCTTACTATTTTGGTATTCAATTCAAGTTCTACCAAGCTTCCAAACCAGATAGCCTAAAAAGACAAGTCATAACTATACATCACTGGTTTATATATTTGCTAACATATAACTTTTTCCTCTAGAATGGATCTTGGCAACCTAGTTAGTTTCATTTGGCCCCTTCTCAAAGGCTGGCTCTTTGTCTAATTTTACAAGTTCTAGCTCTATTTCATAAGTCTAGTCTTTATAGTAATACTGTTAAAGATTTGAATTACCTCTCTACTCAGATCTTCCAAGTGGGCTTCTATCTTCCTACCTGGTTTCTGTGATTTACATGACCTAAGGACTTATCTTGGGTTCACACTGCCTGGTGCTGGTTTGTGTTTCTTCATACAATATTGCACAAATGCTTAGATCTTCCAGTTATGCTAGTATAATACAGATTATAGATGTCTTATCTCAACCAATTATGAAAGACAGTTAACTGTAATACAGAAAGAATTACAAATTTTTGCTAGTACTGGGATTTGAACTTTGAACCTGACACTTAGAAATTAACAATCTATTCACTTTACTAGGTCATCACATCTCTAGTATCTGTTTTTTCAGACTAGACTTTACAGTAATATCATTAAATATTTATATTATTTTTTTATTTAGATTTTTTTAAATAAACTTTTTGTTTTCTAATTTTAATTAATTTACACAATTATAAGAAATTATCTAAAGTTCATATTGCTTAATACCAGTTTACATTTCTCTGTATAACTAGTTATACAAATGTTCTATAACTTGTCAATCATATTAGTACAATTGACATTACAGATATTTTAACCTAATTATTAAAAACAATTGTCATAATACAAGTATTATATAGATAATTATTTAAATTGTTACTGTTAATAAGATTTGAACATCCAATCTTCTATTTAAAAAGTTAACAATTTATCTATTTCATTAAATTATTACATCCTTACTATTCTTATTTTTGTAAAATATATTTGTAATACAAAATGTATATATAATATAAATTATTAAATTAGAAATTATATAATAATAAAAATCAATACTTCAAAAAAACAAAATTGTTTTTATAAAAAATTAAATTAATTAATAATCTGTTAATCAATTAGAAAATAATTATAATGTAATATAACTTTATATCAACAACATTCTGTTAATCAGTTAAAATAAAATATTTATAATTATGATCATATTATCATGATTAACAAATTATAAAACATCTGTACAATATTAAAATTATACAAAAAAATGCAAATTAATATTAAATGATATAAACCAAAATAAGTCTTTATAACTATATAAATTCATAAAACTGAAAAATTAAAGCCTATTTAAAAAGACCCAAGTAGAAAAATAATATAAATTTTTAATAATACCATTGTAAAAACTAGATCTAAAAAATAAATATCAATATAAAAAAAATCAAATAAGCAAAAAATTCCAAATAAAAAATACTACAAATCAAACTACCAAAAATCTTAAACCAGAAAAAAAAAATCTTAAAAAACAAAACACTAAAATACCAAAAATAAGTTACAATTCTTCTGAACTATCTGAATTGAATATCTAAAAATTAAAACAAGATATAACTTAAATATTAGAAATATGCTGTAAAATCAGTACTAAAGTCTAATTAAACTTTGCAAAAACAAATCTTATTAACAAAAATTAAATATACATAGTTAGTTAGCAATGGAACCTCTTGAAACCCTACAATCAGATAATGTATTCTAAAATATGTAACAGCTTAACAAACATACAAACAGAAAGATCAATATTAGATTAAACAGCACTTCAGTATACAGGAACTTGTGCACTATCTATCAGGTGTAGTATAAGAATCACCTTGTACAAGTTATGTAATTATAATTAAATCACAATAAAAGCAGTAGCTGCCGATAACTAACGGCCTTAACGAAAGCAAAAAAAATAAATAAATAAAAAAATCAAACTTTTGAAATATTAATTTAAGCTTAAGTTTGGGATTTGATTTTGCTGTCACATAACACTCAGAAAACAAATGTTGCTAAGAACTTCGTTTGTATTTGGGTTAAAGGTTGAGTATGCAAAATTGCACAAAGAAAATTTTTTGCTAAACAAAATCGTGAGATAAATGCGATTTTTGCAAAGCGAACGTTTGTTTTGACTTTCTTTATGTTACACCTGATCCTGGTTTTTAATTGGCTGATGGACGCGGAAAATTATGTGACAGTAAAATCGATCCTACGTTTAGTTTGAACTACTAAACCCTGATCGTGATACGTAAAATTGCTAATTAAATAAACATATCGCCTGCCAAATGTCTTGATGAGACGATTCTAACAAGTCCAAAATCATCAAAATCTAAGGTCAGACCAATTAAATTCTATGTTTTACATTACCCCCTCTCACTCCAGAAGAGGGAGGGAGAATTTGCAGTTTACATAGTAAAATTTTTTTACTATGAAGGAGAGGGGGGAACGCTGAGTAATGTAAAACACAGAATTTAATTGGTCTGGCCTAACCACTGGATCCCGATATCTTCAAAAAAAATTTTTTGTTGCAGTGATGTACCTATAAGATGGAGAAATGGGTTAGATGTGTTCTATCCCATTTCTTCCACCTTATAAGTACAAACCCCTTGAAAATAGTGATTAGGTTTGATGATCTTGGGCTTTTTAGAATCGTCTCATCAAGACGAACATTTTGGTAGTAAAGTCATCAAAAACGGATCAAAAATTAAAGTAATGTCAAATTCATTTTTGGTAGTTATTCAATATTTCTAATGGTAAAGTTTTATTTAAATATATAGATATGAATATCGATATTTTATAAAATGTTTATGCACAGCATATCTTAATAATATTCGATTGGTTAAAGTGTATAATGTAAATTTGCATAATTTAATATATGTGCGTTTTTTTTTTTAATAAAATTTATATGTTATCAGGCATATAAAGGCATAAAATTTTTTCTTTTTTCTTTGGGATAATAAAAATAAAACTAACAATAAATTGTATAATATATTGATAGACAATACAATGACCTGCATAGACGTCAGATTGATTGCCTGGATATAATGTTAGTAGTACATAAAAATATAGACAATCCATTAATTTATTCATAAGAAACACAATCATTTTAATTATTTTTATACATCGACTCTCTTTAGTTTTTTATCCAACCATTTTTCCAATTTTTCCATCTCTTGATTTTTAGCATTTATTCCATTAAACCATCTTTTGGCCTCTTTGAAATCTTTTTGTAAGCCGCCTTTTCCTTTTGCAAATATAACACCCAGGTTCCACATAGCGTTTTGTACGCATTGAAGATCTTCTTGGTTGATTGAAGAGGGTAATTGACTATTATTGAACGATTTATTGATATTCGCTAATTGAACAGCTAGTTTGTAGCATTTTACAGCTAATTGAACATCATTCAAGTGAAATTCGTACAATACCCCAAGGTTGTAGATAGCCGCAGGAGAATGTGGATGTGACAAATATTCCCAGTGATAACGAGCAGAAGTTGAAAGCTGATGATGCTGTGGCAGTTGCGAATTTGTAGACAATTTCTCTAAATAATAATTTGCAAGTGCTGCTGAAGATATTGAAGTTAATTCTAAGATAGGATCATGATTACTATGATTTGCATTAGCTTCAGTATTTCCAATCTTGTGTCGACTTTCTTCTATAAGAAGTTTCAAAATTTCTTTAGCACGGTCATTATTTTTAGGAATACCTTCAACACCATTTTGCCATAGCAAAGCAATTGCAAGTTTTGCAGGTAAATAGCCATTTTCACCTTCAGCCGCTTTTTGTAACCAACCCAAACTTAACCCTACATCCTTTTCAATACCTTTACCGCCTTTCTGATACAAAACACCAAGATTATATTGAGCAATTTTATGTCCATCAGAAGCAGCAAGCGTGTAATACTCAATAGCCTTAGGAAGGTTAGAGTACGTAACGCCACCTTTACCATAATGATAGCATAATGCCAAGTTAAACTGAGCTGAAGGATGAAATTTCTCAGATGCAAGTTGAAAGAAATGAGCAGGGGTATGTGTAGTGGAGTTTTGAGCCTGTACATTGTTCATTTGGTTATGTCTCGCATAATATAATCCAGTAATGTTTTCAGCGCGTGCAACGTTACGATTTATAAAGGTTTCGAAGTCAAAAATAGCCGACTCAAGTGGAGAACTTGATTGACACCCATTCTCAAGCCCTTTTGAAACATGAGATGATTTGAAACTATCATTCGATCCAGGTGGAGAGCTGTCGGGAGTAAGTGGGGGCGTGAGAAGTGGTTCACGGCCTCCTGGTTTAACGTTCCTTGGCACCATACCCATCATACCCACCATATAAGTTTGTCGTGGACATGATTCATCAAACATTGCTGATAACCAACTGAAACTTTTACATATTTTTTGACTCTTTTCATAACTCCAACATTTTGCACGATCAATTACTTTCTGGGGTAAAAGTTGTTTCCATTGAAGGTTTTCATCACGATGATTAAACCAAAAGGCAGCGGAAGCACCAGCGATAACGGTTACTACTTTAAAGGAAGGATGTGGAGAAACTCCTTGATAACATGCTTGATTAAATTGTTTGTCATCAGGAGCAGCTTGTGCATTTCCAAATTGAAAGCCTTGTTGGTCAGAAACCGTAGATGCAAAACGCGAATGAGATTGAGAAAAAAAGGAGGTATGATGATACTCAACAAAATGTGAGTTGTTATGAGTTGTTTTTGGTAATAAAAAGTTGCGAGCCCAAACACCGATAGTAGACGTCACTTTTGCGGTCATTGATTTATCCAGGAAACAGGCTACTTTACAAACTTGGGATATTGAAGTTTTCCTTTTTCGAAGTACTAAACTTCTAAAAGGGACGTATGTGGTTCATACAATGTGTTCTTTCTTCGTGTTCACAAAAAAAATCCACTAGTAACCTGCTCCAGTGGTTTGTTGTGGGTCACTATAAGTCAACTCTAAGAATTAGTGTTAAAGAAAAATGATTGTGTTTCGTTGTATATTATTAGTATCTTGTAAGATAATATTAGAATTTGACATTCAAGACAACTTCGTCAAAAGGAGGGTAAGATTATGAATATCATAGGTGTATATATATATATATATCTATGAACAAGTTTTGTATAAAACAATAATTTACCATGGAAGTACAATATACATTCTTGCGTTCATATTTATTATGTGTTAAATACTTTTTAGTCACATGTAATTTTATTGATACATATTTTGCCCCAAAACACTCAAAGGGATTGTAGTTCTCGTGATTCACTATATACGTAATTGGAGTTTCACACAACTGCAAGCCAAAGTATATTCTTAATGAACAACTTCTTTGTCAATGCATTCTAAAGTCACTTAATAGGTAGACCAATCTAAATTTCACCATTGAAAGTAATAAGGATTAAATAGGAAAAGAACAGGTATATGATCATTTTTATAGCGATAGTTAAACGAAAAGTGAATTCAATCACGTGAATATAACCACTAATCCTGAGTTGTGATTGGCTATCATTTTTGCAACTGTACGTTGAATAAATATCTAGCAATACAGTTAGAGATTTTAGGGTACCCTTATGTCATAGGCAGAAGTTCGTCTGGTTGGCTAATAAATTCAATTTAATTTTACATTATTTATATAGTTTAGAGTATTTTTTTAAAAAAACGAAAACTAATCATAATGAAATAAAAAAAAGCCATATAGAAGGTTTCATTAGAGCTGTAGGACTCCATAAGTAAAAATAAGATCTAATTATCGTCCGTTTAAAAAAATTAGCTTAGTAATAAGTTGATTTTATCAGGTTTTGAGAAGTTATTACTATACTACCTTTTAAAATCTTCTATATGGCTTTTTTTATTTCATTATGACTAGGTTTCGTTTTTTTAAAAAGTATTCTAAACAATATAAATAATGTAAAATTAAATTGAATAATTAGACAAACTTCTGCCTATGTCAAGCGATAATCGGCCTCCGATCCCATAATTTCTGAACTGGAACAATAAAATTTCTGGATCTCGTGTAACAAAACAAACAGCGAAAACAGTGAAATCATAATTAACTTTCGACTCTAAGTAAAAATGTTCAGCATGAAAAATTACACGTTATTTTTTTTATATTGGATATATTAAGAATTTCTGGGACACGCCGATCTAAGTGTTTTGTTCAAAAAAAGTACATGTAGATCATTTTTATACTTAGGTAAACAGGGTCTGTTAGGTTCCAGAGCGTATATATACTGTTGAATTGCAAAACGGGTAACGGTAAGAGATAAATATCGATATTTATTTATATTTTTTAATTGATGATTGGTGACTAATCACGTGAGCGGAATCCAAGACATTTTTTGGTACTTACTCGTCCATTGGACAATAATTTTATCATGCAAATAATCTAAATATAAATGATAAAAAATATATTGCTAGTAAAAATTTTTACAAACATGATTAACTTCTATCAAAATTTTGTGTTTATATATTAAGGGTAGGGGGTACTATATTAAAATTATATATAAACTTAATTGTAAACTTTTGTTATATTTAATTTTATAAAAAATTATATTAAGTAAACTAATATTAATTTATAAGAAAAGTTTGTAAAACAGGTCTTCTGATCTTAATGATAGTAAAATTATTAAATTTGGTTAAAAACTTAGTAAGTTATGATTTTTTAAAGATTAGTTATAAAAATTATTAATTAAATTAACTTATAAGATTACATAAATTAACTAATCACCCCACTAATTAACTGGGAAGCCACCTGGCTTTTTCTTAATAACAATCACAAAAGATCTACATCTTATACTAGTTTTAGTCTATGTCATGAAAAAACCTTTAAAGTCAAACTTATATTAGGAATACTACCTACACTATCTCATCTTCATTCTCTTTATCCAACTATATACCCAGATAAATATTGCATTTCATGCAATACATATGATAGTCAGTTACACTGGCTAACATGTCCAAACTTACATATACTAAACTCTACTATTATTAACATAATACAACAATTCTTTAACAATTCACGACTAGATATACACTAAAAGAAACCTAAAAATTCAACTAGGTCAAATTACAATAATATTGGCAAAAAATTGGCTAATTTTTTAAAATTCGACCAATAAAAATTTGGCCACACTGAATTCTATATTAATTCGACCTAACTTAACCAAAAATTTGGCGCCCGAATTTTAACAAAATTTGACCATTCCAATTTTTACATTAATTTGACCTAAATTTAGTCAAAAATTCAGAGTCCAAATTTTAATAAAATTTGACTATTTCAATTTTTACATTAATTCAACCTAAATTAGTCCTTTCCGATTTTTATATCAAAAAAAATAACACTAAATTTTTATAAAATTCAGCATTTCTGATTTTTATTCTCAAATTCAGATAATCATTTAGCAAAATTCGGTAAGTTTGAGTTGGTGTCCAATAGCACCAAATTCGACCGAAATTCATTGATTATAATCAGCTTCATAATTAAACATTGAACCATATCTGAATATTAAATTAAAGCACATTATAATCAGTCTCATAATCAAAAAATTGAACCACATTC